CGGATCCAAAACCCTGAGGGGCTGGACCCGGCCCACGGGCCGTAGTTTGCCCACCCCGACCTAGACAATACAGGCTTGTTCCCTACTGTATATTCTCCAAGGTTTTGTCCAGTTTAATTTTAAATGTCTCCCATTCACAGTGGTTTTTCTTGGAAAGCTATTCCAGAACGCAAAAGCCCTCATTGCTAATAAAAAGGTTATTTTAAAAAGCAGTTGAACACCTCAAGAAATATACCCTACAGAATCCACAGAACCGGAGGCGGATCTTTAAGAAGCCATATCCCCCATCCTTTCGCTTGCCCTGTCACCTTGGGAGTTCTCAATGCTGAATGGCTTAAGACTCACTCTCAAAGCTAACACTGAGTGGCTTTTTAAAAGGCACTCGCATAAGTCTCAACAATTCACAGGCAGTGTTTTGTCCTCATGGGTCCAAAGTTTGAAGGAAAGAGAAAACCAGGAGGAGCTGGTGTGTGCAGGGTGGCTTAAAGCAGACCTGGCAGCGTCTACTTCCTGACTGAAATCCTGTGTAGCTGAAACCACAGCACTTACATAAAAATTAAAAGAGGAGAAAAATGGATTATTTCACTTTCTTTTCTCTCAGAAAAGAACTAAAGCCGAAATCCTGCAGGGTGGAAAGGGAATTTGGGGAAATTTTCTCTGTTTAACTCTGAGTATGCAGCTTTTCAAGCCTCAGTGGTGATCGCGCTGAGATTTTAAGTTTTTGAGGCACTTTCTGCGCTGCCTCTGTAACATGGAATATTATTTCTCTTCCCAACTTCAAATCTCGGAGGGACAAATTCTGGTGAAACTGAAGTCAGTGAGTGTTTTGTTACAGACTTCAATGGAAGCAGGGTTTGGCATGCAATGCCACAGGACCACGAGTAAAGGGTATTTTGGGTCTATTGGGTAGTTTAACTGGCAACAGCATGGGCCAGAGCCTCTTATCCAGCCGATCTGTGTTTGGCACAAGAACAAGAGTGGGCAACTTTAAGCCTTTTTGATATTCCCAGATCCTAGGGCTGGTCAGGGCAGCCAGAGGGACAAGCTTAAATTATACCCAGCCACCTATGGGTTCAAGAGGCCATTTGGGTGGTGAGCAGCAAGCAGAGCAAAAGCACACCTATCCATATACCTTTCCCCTCAAGTGAATCCCTCACAGAGCCAGACCTGCCAGCTTTGTGTTGCCCAAGCAAGGCCCAAGATCTGGCCCCTAAATTCCTGGCAAGGATGTCACTGGTTGTGCCGGCCTATGACCACCACTGGCCAGAGGAAGGAGTTAGAAGATTAAATCTATCCATTTAGATGGAAGCCCTCCAACCTCCTAAAGGAGCAGTGGACCCCTTCTCCCACAACCACTTGTTAAAGCTAGCAAGGAAGGGTAATTACCAAGGGTAAAAAGCAGTTACTCGGCTCTGGCTGGAGAAAGCTAACAAATCTAGCATCCATTTCTCATTTCACTTTGTATTTGTTAAAAATCCATACTTACTGGGTTTTAGCTCAAGGAATTGGAAGAACAAATTATGTTGATTTAAAAACAAAACAAAAACACCCACAGTCCTTAAAAATTACACTTCCTTAAAGATTTTGTTTGCTTGGTACAAAGGCAAATCCTGGCATAGCAATGTCACACTAGGTAGCTAGTACAGTACGTACTGCATGGCAATGCACAACTAGATTTGATATGCTGCAGCTGGCTCCGAATTTGTACATTAACTGTTTTTGCAAGACTTCTTAGTGTCTGATTCTGATCTCACTGATGCAGGCTGCACACCAGTGTGATTCAGCTTACTCCAAAGGAGTTTTACTCCAGATTTACACTACTGTAGGCAAGAATCAGGTCCTAGGTCTTGATATTATGGGCACATGACGGGTGGGAGAAGCCAGAAGAGATGGAAGGCTATATGGAAAGGGACAATATTGGGGTTGCTCTCCTCTCTGACTTTTAATAGTTAGGATTTCCCATTTACAGTGTGTTTTTTCTAATACCAAGTTGTTAGTTCTAGGTCAGTTCTGACCTAAGTTCCCTGTAAGCTGCGTGACTGTGCAGCAAGCTATCAAGGGCCATGCAGGCGGGAAGAGGCGTCTCTCCCCCGGCCCCGGGCTGCTGCGGTGAGAGAGGGCTGGGGGGAGTCCTCTCTAGCCACCGCAGCTCTGGGGCAGATTTCACCCCAAACCCCTCATCCCCGGCCCCACCCCAGAGCCCACACACTGCCAGCTGGAGCCCTCCTCTCCCCCCACACACCAACCCTTTGCCCCAGCCCTGAGCCCCCTACTGCACCCTAAGCCTCTCATCCCTGGCCCCACCCCAGAACCTGCACCCTCAGCTGGATCCCTCACCCCCTGCATTCCCTTTGACTTTTTTAAGGAGTAAAAATATTTGTTTTAATAAGCATTCACAAAACTCTCTCCATTGAATATAAAAAGTTTCAGCGCTGCACTCTCAGAGAGCACAGGGCATCACTCACATTCACCAGCCTTCTCTGCACAGTGCTAGCAATACCCGTAAATGCCAGGTGGTTTTGGTGTGTATTCTGTATGAAACTACTCTCCCCATTTGCTTTTGTGGGGGGCATTAAAGCAAGTTTTAAACCTCAGTTGTAGAGGCTAGTACAAATGCACCCCATACACGTCAACTCAAGCCAGAATTTTCAGAGGTGCCAGTCATGCACAACCATAGACGGCCGTGGTGTGTGTTTAGTTCTTCCGAAAATCTGGCTGGTTTTACACAGATACTGAAGTGGAAGCACTGACACCTGGTAAATTTAATAATAATGCTTAAACAAAAGAAAACAAAAAACCCACAGGGGAAATTTTTAGTAGCGATCATAAGTAGGCTTTAGTGCAGTGTATTGAAAGTTATGGAAGTCGTAATGATAGGATGCCAGAGGAAGTTTAGAATCTCAGTATAGGAACATATGAAGTCCTGCAGTTATCGCTGGAGTTCTACTTTGCACTTCCAGGAGTTCTGAGGTCCCTGCAGTGACATCCATGTTAATTGGAAAGTAAGGTGAAGCCTTCCCTAACAAATAAGCAATGCAATTATAAAGCAAGTCAACAGTGTAAAGCCAGCTAACGTGTTCCAGCGATATTTTGAAACTGTAATCCGATACTACTGTTTCCATCCTCGTGCCTTGCCTGCACTCCCTTGTTGCATACTGTACTATTTGAGGCCCAGAGGGCAAGGCAAGCTCTTGCTGTTTATTAACGATCAGACACTGCATTTCGACCGAGATCTGTATGCACACCACCCGCAATACTTTCTCGATAGTTTCTTAAACTTGCAGATTATTGAAACCCTACCAGAAGGTTAACCTTTTTGGAACAACTAAAGCAAGCAACCCCTCCTCCTCCTGCCCGCAACTCTCTCATTTTAAATCTCCAACAGTTTTTACTGTGCTAAAAAAGGCAAAGCCACTCTAAGCAAGTCTCTACTCTTGCAGTCTGCTAAGTTTTGCAGGAAGCATATGCTTCTATTAAATTAGAAACAGTTTCTAATGCTGTCAGTTTGCTAAGTGTAACCTTTTCTCTTGGAAGAAGAGAAGCTGGTTTAATGTTTTTGACAAACTGCACTCAGCAAACAAAACTATGTCAGATGACGCTGGAACAGGCTCCAATAAATATCATTTAAAATAAATTAGGGCCTCATTAAATAATCATTTGAAAGAGGAACAGGTTTTGTATGTTAATAAGAGCGTTTTAATATTAAGAAATTGTATTAAGTTTTATTGCCCTAATACAAGTTGAAGTCAAATTTACCCTCCTTTGCTTGTTAAGCCATTAAAAATTACACTGAAAGAATTAGGAGGTGATCAAAAGTACACAGGTGCTGTATATGGAAGGAAGACTAGGCACTTTAAAAATGGCCACCTGAATAGAAATTACGAGCAAATAACACAGGCAGTATAAAGGCACAGATGAATGAAACAGAAAAAGGATCTTCTTTCTGATACAAAGGAGAACAAGCGATGTGTTTTTAGAATAAAGTATTAATGTTTAAAAAACCCAACCAACCAAACAGTGCTTACTGTCTGGCGGGGAGCTGTCTTTAAAGCAGCAACGAACTGTTTTGAGACAATACACATTATTTTTATGCCAGCGCCTCCAGCTAGCCAAAAGGTCAGTTCTGACATATTCTACCTTGTGTAGAACTTCTCTTTTGCCTCCTTGAAACAGTGAACAAGGGCATCAGTCAAGTGTGAATGTGATCACGAGACTCAAGCCTTCTCCCTTTTGGGAGTTTCATGCAAAAATTTGCTACCATTGCTAACTGGCTCAGCTCCACCAGTGGGAGCGCTAGCATGGAACCTATGATCACTGGCACAATTTAGGCCTACTCGGGGCAGAAGTAGGTAACACTATTAAATACACTGGCAGCCCATTTACACCATTGCTACCACTGGCGTTAGCGAGGGGGAAATATTTGCAAAACACAGACATAGCCTTATTCCGGGGCACCTCTTTGTCCACTATCCTCGTTACTCTTTTTGCCGGAATAGCTGCGCATACTGCAAACCAATGAAGGCAAAAACAGGGTTCCTACATGGAATCTGCAATGCCGCCTTGGAGCGCTGGGAAAAAAAAAAGAGCACATTCTCCCCCGCAGAACAGGAGCGTCAACCCTGCAAGGATTCGTCTCAGCCAACATGAAGAGCGAGACTGAGGTTACTCCGAAACTCGGATCTCCACGTGGCAGGGCTAAGGAAGTTGTCAGGTCTGCCAAGCATGAATCAAGTTATATTATGCTGTATACACATGGTTCAAACTCCTTTCAAATGGTGCAGTGAATTGTGCTGCCACTGTACAGTAACAGCAACCTCTCAAGCACCATGGTTTGGATCCCTGCACTTCTTCTGTGGGAGAGAATAAGAAATGCATTAACTGAATAGTATCCAAGACTAATCAAGCTACATGGACTGTGCAGAATAATCCACATCTTATTAAAAAAACAGGCTATGCTTTTTGTTATGTGAAGATATGCCATGGGGCCTATTCAAAGTTACCTCTGGGGGCTGAAGTCAGGTACGAAGTCTCCACATTTTAGATTCTCTGAGCATGTCTCCCATTAATGGGCTCTCTTGTCCAGTAGTCAGCAACGCTATAGGCCACAGTCCTGCAAGGAGAACCACATGGGCAGGCCCTTGAATGGAACCGCACTAAAACCCACGGGGCTCTGTGCAGCATCATACACTTCTACTTGGAGAACCAGGGTCCCAGTTTCTTAAAGCTGGGAAGCCTCAGCAGTTAAGATGACTGGGCACTGCTTTAGGGCCAAATCCAGTTGATTGTTCTCCATTCCCACTGACTTCAGAGCCTTCAGGAATCCATGTGCTGAAGAGCCTACCAGGAAGGAGCAGCTTAATTGTAAATTAAATCCAAAACCAGGTGAAAGGCCTACTACACTAACAAAATACATTTTCCTGTCACAGTTAACATTTGTCAACTGTGATCACAGTATGCTACTGCACACAGAGGATAAGGGTGATGCTGAAATATTTAATATTTATTTATCCCTCCCTCCCTCCTCCCTTGTGATTTTGTTAATGTGCTCAACAAGGGGGTTATGCTGTGCTGTGTCATGTTCAGCTGGTTAAACAAGACATCTTTATTGGCATGTACATGTCATGGTCTGGTTGATGTACTTAGTGTATTTAAAGATCCAAAGTCTTCAGTCTATTCTCCCCTGGATGCATGCAATTCCTGTAAAGGTTAATGGGAGTTATGTGTGCATCAAAGGGAGACTAGACCCCTTTGTGTATAATGGAAGGTAGTTTTTCTCATGTATTTATAATTACTTGGATGGAGTCCTTGCTTTCATAGAGTCTTTTCATAGAGTCTTTTCCCCAAAGATACCTTGTTTTTCCCCTCACATTGTAGACTCTTAATAAAACACACTGGGAACTCCCCCCTTAAAACAGAAGATGAAGCGTTTGCCAAAATGCACATTATAGCTTTGAAAATGGAGTATTGCGTAAGTTACCACAGTCAAACTGAAAAGAAGCAACTTGACTTTTCTTTTTCTGTTAAGAAAAAAAGTGTGGCATAAAATGCAAACTACATCTCACCAATGGGAAATCATCTTAGCTTCTGTCTTGTAAGTTTCATATGTCAACCAGTTTCTTGCCACTGAAAGTAAAAAACCATGAACAGACTACAACAGGAAGTGTTTCCATGATGCTGTTCTCAAAGCAACTGTTCTTATGTGCTTTGGAGTAGTTTTCAACATTTTTTGCTTTAATAAGCGAAGCACAGATTGCTTTAAACAAACAGACAGGTCACAACAATCCTCAAGATCATTAGTTTTACATACGTCATCTAATCAGAGGTAATTGTTATTTTTGTGCCAGGTCCTGCAAACTGAGGGCTTCAAATGTTCTGATACTTGTAATAATATGCAGATTCTTTATTAAAAAATCTTACTAATATGTAGAAAGGAGCATAAAACATTTTAATTTATTTTAATGGGAGGAGTAGCTATTATCCTGCCTCTACCACACATGTGAACACATGCAGAAAAAATGGTCCCGAAGATCAGATGTGAAAGTTTGCCAAGACAGCATTAAATGAGGTTAGAAAAGTGGACAACTGTTGGCCTTTCAATCTAGTGCACTAAAGCTTGCATTTGTTGAAATACAGCGTGTGTTTTCATGTTTCCTGAAGTAGAATTCTGAAAGCTGATAAAGGGAACTTTGGCTAGCATTGAACTATAATGAACTTATGGCAACGGCAAGTAAGAGGCAGAGAGATTTAATTTTCATGGTATCTGGTTGATTCCACAGTCAGAATAACTAAAAAGACACACAAAAATAGTAGAATTATGAATATTAACCCACTTGAGCTGCATAATGTCCAGTAATTAAAGTGCTAATATCCTCAATCCTCAGGAAAAAATTGTCATGCTAGACCTACAAGGTTTTATCCAATTATCCTACTTTGGAACACTTCTATTTTATGGCACACTTTAGGATCAATTCCATATTTAAAAGCCTGGCTAATGCAGGTCAGTTAGCCTGGAATACTGTAATTTAAACACTGATACTGTGTGTGCATTTGGGGGATGGGAAGCTGGCCCACATTTCACAGAAAAGTAATGTTAGAAGAACAGAATAAAAAGAAAAGAGAAAGCGTTCTAAGTTGCATTTCCCCTTTAAGCCAGACACAAATTATACACCATAGCCAAAGTTCCCCATTACATTAGTTTTCTTTCAGAGTTACAATGACTAGAAAAAAAAACAAAACCCAACACAGCAACTGTGTATTGTGCATGTCTTTTTGCACTCACATTTGGGGCAACACACCAGATAACCAAGGCTTAAGTTTAAAAATACAAAAAGGTATAATATTCCATTCTGTACATTTGCAATATTTTGTGCAATGAGGGTGTGTGTAATCTTAGAAAAACCAATTTCCCAAATATACGGGGGTTGGAGAGTAACAGAGGCGATGTATCTGATCGCAGGAGGGTAACAGAAGCAAAATTACTGGGCCCATGGGAAGGTGGGGTACTAAAGTAGCTCTGCTCAAAGCCCTTCTGACGGTCAGTGATATAAGTTACTGCTCTTGGTGAGAGGAAAGGCAAGGGGATAAGGGTTGATTTGCAGCAAACCACACTAGAGTTAATGCTTAAATACTGCAGATTGTTACACACACACACCCCTCAATGCAATAAGGAAACAAAGTTACCACTATTGAAAACACTCAGGTGGATTTCATGCATACCAAAGTCTCCTTTTTATGATGAATTAAAGAAACTTACTCTAATAAAAGAAAAATGTATCTTTTAAAATAATATACAAATATTATATATTTTAAAGAAACAAATATTTTTCCAGGGGGAGGGGCTACCCCTTAGCACCTGTGAAAAATATGAGTGCATGAGAACACAGGAAGATGCTGCCATACTTATGAATTATATTTAAGAACTTCATTTTTGCAGCTACCTACAGTTAAGACAAAGCTGCCTCTAGGCATTTAAAACTAGTCAGACCTGCTGCAGCAGCTGCACAGTCTGCTTCGAATATGCCCTCCACACTCCTTCCAACCCCCACCCCTACATATCCGCATAGTTTACCGCCAATCATGGGCGTTTCTTTCTATAGTGTAGTTCACTCAACCATCTTATTGCCTCCTCTGGAAGGGAAAGAGTGTTTCAAAAAGACCAGTGTGAAATGCTAAGAAAAAGTTGGATATTAGCAAATCGTAGATACAAATCACATTTCAGTGGAAAGTCTGTTTGGATCCTACAGCATGATTGTTTTGCCATGGATTGAAAATCATGGCTCAAAGAAAAATGTTTTGCTTGTTACAGATAATCCTGTCAGGTATTAAATCTGAGGAAATGAAATCCTTCACTTAAATACTGTAGTGACTGAACACGTGTCAAACAGAAGGAAGGGTCTAAACCTACCCAATTCAAAATTCCTTTGATCAAATCAGTACAATTTTGTGTCACTCTGTTTTTTAAACAGCAGTTTTTAAAGATTCCTATCATGCATTTGTATCTGCTTCATATAATTTTTATATATGTAGTAACACTTCTCTTATGCTGTTCTTTTCTTAACAGGAAACACAGGAAATGGAACCAAATCCGGCTCATTCACTGATGTGTAAGTAAGACAAGTAGGATCTGGCTCCCACTGATTACACAGAATGGGACATATGACACTTAAAGTAATGTAAAAACTGAACTCCAAAGCCCAATACTAGAGACCATTCCAGCTTTTCCAAAAGGGACAACGGGGCTGTAATGGGACTGAGGTTCTGGCTCAAAGACTTCAATAGAGTTACTCCAGTGTAACAGAGAGCAGAATCTAGCCATGTAATTTACCTACCTACACGCACATATTATTTATATTGGGGTAGTGCCCAGGAACCCCAGTCATTGCCCTGGACCCCCTTGTGGCAGGCACTATACAAATACAGAACAAAATGACCACCCCACCACAAAATGCTTACAATCTAAAGGCTGTACGGTCACTTTGAATTTGGCTTCCCTGGACTTTTCAGTGACACTGCAATCTGAATGTTGCGGTAACAGTTTGTTTTCCGTTTACATTACATATTATCTTTTGCTGACTGCACTGGTAATACTGAAAAAAACAAAACAAAAAAAAAGGAATACCTCAGTTGTGGCAAACATTAAAGTTTACTTCATTTACGGCAGATAAAAAATTATAGGAGAAGCAGGCCCTTCTGTTCAGAAGCAGCTACACTCCTCCTGACTGATCAGTGTACTTGTAAAATAATTATTGGTAGAAATGTGTCAATTGCATCTATTTAAAAAAAAACACCCCACACCAACACACCTACCATTCATTCTTAGATTTGCAGATTCCACTTTTTATAAACTAATAATTAGTGGGAGGCTCAGCTACACTAAGTATTTGCACCTATTACCAGCTGCCTTCCCTTTAAACTGGACCTTGCTCTCTTTTCTTTTAGTGCATTCATGATCTTTGGACTCAGCAATCAGAGTCTGCTGTTTCTGGCACAGATTGATTGGGGGCGGAGGGGGGAGGGTGCAAGAAACTGTTGCCACTGAAGCGGTCTCCTTCTGTGCGAGGCTTACAAACATGAACTAACTCACAAGGAAGTATACCTGCATTAAACAGAACTTATAAAAGTAAGTGGGTCTTCAGACGATTGTCTATACTTTTGAAGGGATGCATTCTCTTTTGTGAAAAGCTACACTTTAGTATGTGTTACCTAAACGCAAAAATGGTCCTCACAACTCTGGATTACCCTGCCTTACTTCAGCACTCCTAGTCAGGGACTATGGCAAAGCATTATACATCAGTGTGAAATATAAAACATTCTAAATTGGTTTCCAGATCAATGATTCTCAGGAAAAAAAAGGCTCATTAATTGTTAGCAAAAGTAGTTCAACTAGATACTACTAAGATCTGCTGTATCCAATAGAGGTGAAACTTCACTTAAAGAAAATGTCAACCTACATTATAAAGTTTGAATTTTCATGCTGACTGTTTTTAGTACATTGTGCCCAGTTGTGTGATGTCTTTTAAGAAGTCATTTTCAGTACTTGGGTCTTCTCCATTATTTGTATTACTTCCACCAAAAGCATTGTGAAAAACTCATCTTATCTTTTGGGTAAAT